CACTGCCCACAGGTCCTCACTGCCCACAGGTCCTCACTGCCCACAGGTCCCTGTGTCACCTTTGAGTGCACAGACCAAGGCTTGAAAAGCACTGCTACAGAGGACTGAGCAATGAGACAGGGATACTCCCAACCCACAAAAGCTATTTAGCTGGTTTGCACACTGGGACATGTGTGAGAGAGGAAGGACCCCAGGGAAACTGTCCCCAGTGAAAAGATGGCCTTGCCTGCTCTGCCCTTAACTGAAGATGGGGCCCATTGAACACGAACTCCTGCCTGAGACCTTCCGTCCTTTCCTACTGGCTGGGCATGTGACATCGACACCTTTCCAATGTCTGGGTTATAGCTCTTCTAGGCACAGCAAGTGTCTGTGAACGAGAGGGAGCCCAGATCTGGTTCTCGTTCCTCCCACAACTCTCCACTCCAGGTTAGGTCTCTAAGCAACATGCAGGCAACATTTGCCGTTTCTGAGACAAGTTATAAAATGTCTCTCTTCAAAGTACCCTCACTGCTTAGGAAGGAAGATGCCAGGACAAACACATTTATTTTGTGGTCACCAAGATGGGGTAGATGGAATTAGGACTTACTCATGGCAGAGGGGTCTAGCAGCCTTTAGGCTCCAGAAGCAGCAAGCACTTTTCTCATGGGCCTCTTTTGGCAAGAGACCTGCAGTCTGAGCCTCACTGGGGTGACAGTAGATGGCAGGGGCAGAAGAGGACAAGAATGTCTCTACCTACTAAGCTTTCCTTTCCTGCCAAACTGGAGGCTGAGCTGAAAGCTTTTTCATAGCCGGTTTTGACAATGAAATTAAACACTGGTCATGGGGGAGGGGCATGAAGCTTTGCTCAGCACTGGAAGGGGTGCCCTTTCAGTCATGATGACTCTGGAAAGGAGCCACATTATCAACAATTCCTGGCCTTGGCCTTTCCTACTGTTTCTTCTGAGCATATAATTTCTCATAACACTTGTCCTCAAATTCAGACACGGGAACATAGGTCCCCAAATTAGATGCTCAGTATGTACCTCCAGTTACCAAGCCAGAGCTACTGGGGTGAGCTCTGGGTGACAGGAAATGCTGAGTTGCAGCAGTCTGAAAACCCTGTTTGCCAGTCTTCCCTATGCACGTAAAAAGTTTTGGCTGCTTGCTTTCACAAGAGAGGCTCAACTCTGAACTGTGTCCTTTTTGTCCCATCCTAGGGCTGGATTCCTAAAAAAAATGATCAAGTGATTAATCTAAATACCACACTTAATTACTTAACTTCAAAACTATAACATGCCCAAATGGTATCTGCTTGGATGGTTTAGTGGAAGGATGCCAGCCCAGTAGTAGCCTCTTCTGTAGAACCAGGCAGACCTAGTTATGAGCTAGAGGTCACTGACTTGCTGACACCTCCAGCATGATGGATGCCTAAATCTAGCCTCTGGCTGTTACAGGGTATCCAGCTTCCACTGGTATGGCACAGAAGGCTGACTGGTCAAGTTCCCCCAATGGAAAGGGACAGGAACACAAAGTAAATCGAGGACTCTCCCGAGTGCGAGTGCAAATTCCCAGCAGGAACCTGCCTGGTGACCTAGCCCCCCAGAGCACAGTGCCTCAAGAGTCTCTGCTGACAGCAAGATGGAGCAAGATGGGGCTCACATCAGGCTCTAGGTACCATAATAGAATCCTGTTTGATTAAAAGAAATTTCTGGTAATGAATTAAACAGGCTCAAGGAAAAAAGGACATGGTGGCCATATATTCTCAAAGCACCGGCACCCAGGGAGGAGGGGTGAGAAAAGGAGACATAAATAAAGGACTACTCACTGGGGCTCTTTTCCTCGGCAAGGTCACAGGCACAGAGCAGGTCAGAATCGATTGAGATGGGCTTCTGTTTAATCCAAAACTTAGTGCTGGCTTTCTGATTCGTAACAGGGTCTATCTCTACTTTGTCTCCAGAGATACCTGTAAGGTCAAGGAATGGGGACAAAAAGAAGCCATGAAGTGAGGAAGGTGGCAGCGACTTCAGCGTAACAATCATGAGCTCTTAAGGCTAGAGAGATTGATTCTCCCAACAGGCAGGGCTTCTAAACAGGATCCGAGACTCTCCCAGTGTGGCTGCCCGGGTAAGCGAGAAGGAATGATGAAAGTTGTTTGGGGACGTGCTTTTTCTCTGAAACAACAGAGACAAAGACTGGTAATACCACTACAGTTATACTGTAATGACATAAATTACAATAGAAGGCCATGTAAAGATAAGATAGGTTTGATCAAGACCCTAAGTAATAGATTAGGTTACCAATATAGAGTTTCTGATCTAGAAAAATTTACATTAAAAATAGAAGGGAGGAGGCAGAACTTTCTGCTGTGACATCAAATAATTTCTCCAGTAACATTTAAGGGAAGCCACTGGGGGAACAAAGGTCTTTACACAAAACCTCTGAATTCAAATCTCAAAGCCTGCCTTTTAGGTGGGGGTGGTCCTCTCCTCTCTATTGAGGGAGAGACTGCAGCATTTTCTCTGCTGGACAATGACCAGGAACAAATGAGGTGCAGGGGTCCATTGGAGGTGCCCTCTGGGTATTTCTGAAATGACATAGTCTGTCTAACACACCGAATCTAGTCCAGAAGTCTTCTTTTGCTGAAAGGAGAAATCTGTTCATGGAGTAAGATGTAAACCTTTTGTGTGCGTTCTGGAGTGAGCCCCACAGGGAGTCTTAAAAGTAATTAATTTTTAGGTGGTCAGAGTTTAAGGCTACGGTCAAAGTGGGGGAAAAAAAGTCAAGATAAAAAAAAAACACCCTGAAAAATCAGTTGTACATACATAAAAAGACAAGCAGGGCTTGTGAGAAAGATTATCTCAAAAGAGGATAAAACCCACCCAAACCCAGCTCAGTTAATACCCCCACCCCCAAACGAAAGCACAGACACACATGATACCACAGCCTGGCAGCAAATTTAAATGTAAAAAAAAAATGAAAATAAATACAATCTCCATTATTGGATTTTGCCTCCCCCATCCATTGTAATGTTTTGTGAGTAGATTCATTCCAAAACCAGTTAGACAAAGGAAGTAGGCTATGTGCAGATGGTGGGGACAGAGGAGATGTGCAGAGATGGCTGCTAGCCCTGTCATCTTTGATAGAGCCCAGCAATTATTTTTATTTATTTATTTTGTTTTATTAACCCAATGCTGGGTTTCCACTGGACATATTTCAGGAGCAACATATTTCAATTAGGCATAGTGTCCTAAGTCCAGCTGACTCTGGATCTCAGGTATGGAGGATTTCAGAAGCTGAGAAGCTATCAGGAGCTCAATTTGATTACATTTCACTTGAAAATAGATTATGACTATCCCACTACACTCCTGCCTCCAGTTTGGTCATCAGTTGTTAAGGATCTGGACATCTCTATAGTTATCTGAAAGGAGACAAGTACTTAAGCCATGGCAGTGGTAACAGGGTGAGCGTTCACGGAGAGCACACTGTGGCAATGGGGTGTGCGATCATGTGAGTGTATGCTGTGAAAA